CTTTAGCTCTCTGAATTTTGATGTATTCCCTCTATACCACAAAGTCTGAACTGTACTATATTATAGGCACTTCTGTTTTTACACAGCCTTTCTTCAGCTGCATTGCTAGTTTCAAGACGCCAGGGAGCATAACTTTATTACAGGGTTGTGGCTGCCCTAGTTCTTGATTTGGTGGATCAAATGGCCTTTGAGTCCTCATTTTAATTTGTTGGCTGTATCCTTGTTGACCACTGTTGTTTACAAAAATTCATCCCACCCCTTGGCTTCTGTGGCGCAACTCACCAATTCTTCCTATGAGTGCCAACTAATGTGTTAGTTTTAGAACACTATGTTCCCACAGTCCACAAGAAAAGAGATCTCGAACCCTGATCTCCCTCACTGATCACGGGTAGGATATTTTAGTACTGTCTAAGTTTGCAGCATATTGTCCTACAGACTGGATCTAGTTTATAGACATATTTTATTTGGCTCATATAAGATCATTAAAAGAATGAATTAGCTGCCAACATTTAAAAATCAGACAATGTCACATTTAAAAAAATGAAAAAATTCAAAGCTCTGGCATCACTGGGCCAACATTCCCACATGCTGAGAAGCTGTCATCCCTTGTAGAAGAGACAACGCTATGTATCCACAAAATCTCATTTATTTTTTTCCCTGTGCACAAAACTGAATTACATGGCTATTTGATTGATTTCAATCAATCAAATATAGTTAGAAAGAGTAGCTGCTGAAAAAATTTCCCGTATGATGCTCAGTGCTCACTTTCTCACTCTATATGTCAGACTGGTGTATTTTTACTTTGATAGTTCCTAATATCAAAACTAGAAACAAGATCTTTTATGTTTCTTTGTAGGAACCCTCTCAAAATAGGTCCAATGACTATTCAATGTATATGCATCTTTAAATTTCATGTGATTTTTAATAGAATTCCAGTTAATGCTAATGTCATTAAAAATATTTAAATAACTTTCCTAAAATAATTACTTTACTTGAAAACTTCAAGTATTTCTTTATTTCTGCCCTTCTCTGAACTTTTTCAATCTATGTGACCTAATTTGAAATAAAAATGTGGAAGATACAAAGTCATCTAGCTTCCTTTTCTCCAATCTTATTCACACCTTTCTCTTTCCAGAAATAACCATTAGCCTAAATTTGGAACGGATCATTCCCGGGTGTATTTAAAATTATTATTACATAAGCAAATATCAATAAGTTATATATTATTGACTTGCCTATGGTAAAAAACATATACATGCACCACACAGAAAGCAATTTTCTTTTTCTTATTCAACTTTATGTTTTGTTTTCAAAAAAGGAAATGCAAGTCTGTCAAACATTTTACTTATTTTTCCCTTTAAACATTTAAGCAGTTAATTAATTTGTGAAACAGCTAATTTATTGTTATGGCTCCAAAATCAATAAGCATAAAACACTGTAGAGTTAAAAGTATCCCTCCCACCTCTGTACTTAAAGCTACTCAGTTGCCTCCACCTCCATCTTCCAAAATAGGTACCCATGGTTACTAGTTTTGTCTGTATCTTTCTAGAGATAGATGTTACCATGCTATGCATTATTTTGTACTTCTTTTTTACTTAATAAAAACATTAGCTTTTCATATCAGTGCATTAAATAGCACTCTTATCCTTTCTTAGTGTAGTGTCATGTTTTATTTTATGAATGAACCCTTATTTAACTACTATTTTATTGATGTGGACTTAAATTATCTCTATTTTTTAGTAATTACAAATAATGAACAACATATAACACACATACATAATTTTGTACATGTGAATAATATTAGTTATCTATTACAGTAAAAAAAAATTAGCAGTTTAAATTGGTAAATATTATCTCACATCTTCTGTGGACCCAGAATGCAGGCAGTTTAGCTAGATTTGTCTGCCTCAGTAAGTCTGACAAGGCTAATTTCAGGGATTGGCCAGGTCTGTGTCTTGATCTAAAGGTTTAACTGGGGAAGGATTTGCTAAGCTCACTTACATAGGTGATGTCAAGATTCAGTTCCTCAGAGACTTTTAGACTGAGGCCCTCAGTTCCTCAGGCACTGTTGGCTGGAGACCTTCCTTACTTCCTTGCCAAATGGACGTCTCCATAGGGCAGCCAGCAGCATGACAGCTTGCTTCTTCCAGAGCAAGGGCTCTGTGAGAGAATGCAATGTAAATAAAGAGTCACAAAGTATAAGAAATAAAATAATAGGTGCACATACATGTGTGTGTTTGTGTGTGTGAAGGGAGACCCTGCCAGGGGAGGCAGAAGTAGAAGAAAACAGTGGAGCCACAGATGGGCGTAACAAAAGAACACACACAGCCAATAGATGGTCCCTGGAAAACACTGCGAGGCAATAGCATTCAGAACTGACACTGGGAGGAGTTTTGGCATGCTCCAGATGTAGGTAAATACAAAGGCTTGCAGTAAGGAAGCTTGAGAGTGGGGACATTCTAGCCTTAACAAGGCTTGAAATTGACATGCCAAAGCCAACTTTCAGGGCAGGCCCCAGGGAGTAACTGCTGGGAGTGGAATCAAAATTTAGCATGACACAGGTAACAAAGGACAGAAAGGGAGTGTTGCTGGACACTCAGGTAATAGTAGGGGAGAGGGCAGAGCTAGGAATCTCAGAAAGCAAGTTACTACTGGGAAGGACAGAAGAGGGAGCTCTATGAAATTAGAGAATGAATCTGAATCCAAACTTCCTTTAAAAATTCAGGAAAACTAATATCACACAAAAGTGATTAAAAAAAATTGAATCCCATAAGTAAAGAGAAAATAAGGACCAGAAGAACATCCACACAATTAAAAGAGCCCAGAAAAGACATATGATTAATAGATAGATGATAGACAAATAAATATTAAAACCATAACTATTTCAAAATGAGCTAAAAGATATTAAGAAAAAGACATAGGAAATAAACTTTAAAAATACAACATAAAAATCAGAATTAGACTCAGCAATGATATGACAAAACTCAAAAAATTCAGATTTTATTTTTTAAATACTCTTATAAATATCTTGTACCTTTAACTTGGAACGTATGTGCTAGAGTTTCACTGAGGCATAAGCCTAGACGTAGAATTGCCCCACCAAAGTGTGTATAGATCTTCAAATTGGCTAAGTATTGCCAAATTGCTATCTAAAAGTGAATATGCTACTTTATATTCCTACCAATATCTTAGGAGAATCAACAGCTTTTTATATATCACCCACCTTTATAATGTCAGCCTATTTAAATTTTTCCAAACTATTGGGTG